GCAAATGCAAAAATCCTGAATATGGGGTATTGGGTATCTTTCCGGGGCTATGGCTCTGTTCAGAGCGCGATAATCACCACATGGTCTCCAATAATCGGATGACTTGTTAGGCGCCGTGTGCAGTGGATAGAGCTATGGACTAGACGAATGTCGAGTTATCCACAGATTCAACATCTATTCAACTTCGTCCTTCGCGATCCGAAGCTTCTCAGGGTGAAGTCGGCGCGGGTGAGCATGGACTGGGCGTCTATTAGTAGTAATGTGATGCCAGACTGCGTACTGAACTTGTTCAGTCAACTCATGTTAATAAGACTCCAGGTCTAGCAAAACTTCTTGAATTTTTTTTATCAGATTCTCGATATTCGCCTACAAACAAAACAGCTAAGCGCCTCGCCGCATGGTTTTCTACCCAGATGATCACGCGAAACATGTCCATTAGTGTTACTTAACCTTGCCATATCCCTTTGTAATGAGAGGCAATCAGTAGTTGTGATACACTTTGGGCTCAGAAAAGCCTTCAAAAAGGTACTGAACAGACGTTTTTAGTGAAACTGGAAGCCCTCGGCACCCGACATCATTTCCTCGACTTAATTTGCTCCCACATGTATAACAGCTACTCCATACCCCCAACTGATCCCAAACGGCGTTTTTCAAGGCTTAGTTTTGCGCTCCCTCCTCTTGATTCTGTATATAAATGACATTTCAACAGTGTTCATGAATTACCAAAATTTCACATGCGCAGATGACCTTAATTGCATGTTCTCATTTTCTAAATGCACTGCCAACAATTGCGTTGATAAAATAAACGCGGACTTGTGTATGCTCTCGCGTAGGAGCGCAATCTGACAGATCGTGTTTTCTCCATTCGAGTGTGGTTTCGTGTGTTTTGGCCCCGCCGAGCTTCCTGAACCCCTAGTCGTTCACTTTTAGAACGATCTATTATAAAAGACTTAGGTCTTAATAGCGCGAATAAGCTAGCATAAGCTAGCATGCAGATGGAATTTCTGCAAGGGCTGCAAACATATATGGTTTGTTGTCACGTAGTTTCTTCCTTCCGGAAAAAGAATTGAAGACGTGCCACATGTTTGCCTTCTCACCCCAGAATACTGATGTCCATTTTTGTCTGATAGACGTGTCTGATCACAAAAGTATTGAAAATGTTCAGAGAGTTTTACGCGAAAACTATTTTCTCTTTCTGGATCCAATATCTCTTGTACGAATGCATGTCTGTTAGCGAACACTACATTTATATGGTTAAGAAAACTCGTAGCCGGTCTCCGCTTTTGGTTTCGTGCTAACTCTAGTCCTAATCACCCAAAATTAACGCTCTCACTCATTATGCCCCTAGGCCCACACCTTGCTGTTCTCGTTTTTCTGCCATAAAATATGTTTTCGTCTGGAATAATATTCCACCGGAAATAAATTGTCCTCTATGTTATCGATTTTCAAAGCCAAACTACGCAACCGTTTAACTTCGGAAAATATAAAGTCCTTATTGTCCATTTCCCTCCCTAACACGCAAATTTGGACTTTGAAAAGGGTCCTCTTGCCATTTGAGGCTGTTCCCTTGATAGTAAATTGGCTTCTTAACATGTTAACATTAACATTTGGAAGTTTTATCTTCGTCTCCTCCTCTTTCAACCATAATTTACAAATGTTTACAACTCTTCTCGGTCTTTCTACACCGACAATGATCTTCGCGGTCTCTGTTGATGACCGTCGCGGGTTCTTTTGTTTTCGCCAGTTTGCCGGTGGATTCTCCGGCGTTTCGTTGATGTTCTCTTGACATCTACTATCACCTCCTTCTACCCCGCCGTCCGCGATGAGCTCCTTTTTTCTCACCCCCTGATGTTATATGATCTCTCCCATGGCAAGGAGCGTTCCAAACCCTCGCATGTTCTCGCTTATATCATGATCCCATCTCGCTGCATCACACGAATCTAACTACCAAGTTATGACAAAAGCGGTTTTTTCTCCCATATATTTTTTGAAGTCGGGGTTCGTTGAACTCTGCCTCTGGTTTCTGTTATAAGAGTTTTTTACTGCTTCTTTTCTCAGTTCACAGTATTCATCAACTATTGTTGACTAGATGAAGGCAGCCTGTTGTTAATCGCAAATGACTTAATATGTATAACATACTACTCATTTCTTTTGTTTATACAGTTGCTCACACGCAGCTGTGGTTACCAGCTTTGCATTTATTTTTACCGCAACACTCAGGTTGTAATGAAGTGCCCCGTGGGCCTTAAAAATCTGAAGGCAGCCAACGAGGATAGGCCGCAGCTCAACTTCAATAGATGGGAAGTTTGATCGAACCACTGGTTTCTGCGGTTCATAGTCGACAAGTGTGATATACTCCGCTTAGGCAATCCAGCCAAATCCAACAACAGTAGAAGTTACTCTCTCAACAGTGCAGCTCTGCAAGACGTGAAAACCCAAAAGGATCTCAGTGTGCTGACGACGAATTCCTTAAAACCGTCCACACATTGCTTGAGAGTAGAGAACAGCGCAATGTCCGTGTGGCACACGATCAGAAGAGCCTTTTTAGATTTAGACGAAGATCTATTTCCAAAGATTTTTGGAATATTCGTGACGCCGCATTTGGAATACGCTATACACGCATGGAAACCATGGGCAGTGCGAGGTCGGACTGATCTCGAAATATTTCAATGGAGAGCCAAAAAGAATAGAAGTCACTTTATTAAAGGAAGAAGGCTTTCGCCCTTGAGCTCCCTATTCATA